TCAACAAAAATGTGATGAGAGAAGTCTCTTCAATCTTTTAGGGTACAGTATCATGAGTGCTAACGGTCAGGGGTAAGACATATTTGGACAGGACAAATTGTTAACTGTGAAGGTAATAGTAAACAGCACAATTTGACATCAGTTGTCTCAGAGCCAGTGTGTGTATATCATCATATACAGATTTGTCCCTTGTGCTCTTAAAATCTAGAGAGAAAATATCCTTGTGTGGCACACACTGAAATGCTCCAGATTTATTGTGAAAACCAACCAAAAGAGTATCCCACCTCAGAAAGTAAACAAAAAGCTTTGAGATAAAAAAGGCTGCCTCAAACAATATTTTCTCCTCTTGAAGCAGTTGAGGCATCCAGACACCCTCATTCAGAAGCACATAAGCAAAGCTGCTTCAGATGCTGGCAAAAAGGAAGAGATAACCCACTTGTTACCCCTATAATCAGCTGGGCTACAGTGATGACACTATCTTCAGGATCAAAGACTGAAGTCTGTTTCAAAAAGGCACTGAAAAAAAAATACACGAGGGGCTGCAAAGGACCACATCAATGCACGCCCGTCATTAGAATGACTACAATACAAGGAGTGCAGGCCTTGTCTCTATGTTCTATTTTTTTTTTTCTTTGCAAAAGGTAAGTCGTAGCATTGTAGATTAGAATCTGCCTGTCCTGGAGTTTCCTAAGTTCATTGGAAACCAAGGCAAATTGGACTGCATCTGTGTGGCCCTTTACAAGCTACAGTCTTTAGGGATGCACAGTGAACTGGGAGGCTGGGGTAATGCCAGCCATCAGGAGAACTGAAAAGGAGAAGCAAAGTTTCCCTCTAATGCCAGAGGTAAAGAGATGCAATTATCCATTCAGATGGAGCTGCTGTGAGGCAGAGAAAGGCTTAGATTAGCAAACATGGGAGTGCTCAAACAAGGTTGTTTTGTTCATGTGCAAACCCAGAGCTCAAGGACTACTGCAGTATGAGTCTGAGTTGATCCAGTTATGGATAGAGGAACAAATTGCCAAGTTCAAACTTATGGGCAAACGGATTATTTACTATTGGGTAAATTCTGCTGAGAATTCAGAGGTCAAATCTCTCCCACAGTAACTGAAAATATAGCTGCTTTCACATTGCAGTATCTGAGAAGTAACGTATCCCCTTTTCCAGTGAGGGAGAACCTACCTCAAGCTACCTTGCTTCTGCTGACAAATAGATGCAAGCATACACGCTTTTCCACCATGACAGGACACCTGATGAGGGATAAGCTGTTACCCTGCAATAACTTATTCATATGTCCATAGCCCAGTTATAAGCCTCTCCCCCAACTTCAGAGTGGCTTCCGATCCACAGGTTTTAATTAGAAAAAGTAGGCATTGTCCCACGCCTCTAACCTCTTACTTGCCTGTTGTATGCTCCAGGCACTACAACTTTCTGGAGGCAGCTTTGTTAGCTCTTAGTAGTCTGGACTTAATTGTCCACGGCACACACATTCTCCTTGTAGCATAACAGGTTGCTCAGTTTGAGCCACAAGTATCTATACGCAAGTCTCCTTACCTCGATTGTGCTGCAAGAGGACAATAGTGGGATTGACGATTGTGGTAGAGGGATAGGCAGAGGAAGACTTGTTGATTGAAGTGAAGGAGGTTGGATAGTCAGTGCCAGTGCCAGGCTGGGGCACTTCATTTAGCACAGGACCTGGGTCCTGAAAGGAGAGCAACACATCATTAGCAGCATGCAGAAGGCTGCTACACTGGGAAAATCTGGAAAAAAAACCCCAAAACATTTTAAGCTGAATGAGAAGCATAATCACAGCAAATTTTAGTAAAAAAGGCATAAGCATGAGTGTTATCCTGCTCCTTGTACGTACCGTGCTCGTTGTTAATGCAATTAGTTTGCTAAGGCAGTGCTATAATTACTTGGTGTTGGGTTTCACAACTCCAACCCCAAAAGGAGGCACTAAATTCATCCAGCAGACTCTCTGGAGCAAACCCAGGGTGCCAGAAATGAGCAAATCGGGGGAAGAAAAATTGGGGGGGGCGGGGGAAGATGCAGACATCCTTCCCCTGATATGTACACACACAAACATTTTTTTTTAAAAGTATTCCTTTCATAGCAAGAAGTCAGACATGCAAAACATGCAATTCTGGAGTGAAACATTATTACTGCAGCTGGTTTGGTAAGGAAGGTCCGAGGAATAAGGTTAGCACCATCACTCAGGAGACAGTGTGACACCTACCTGGTTAAAATAACGAAATTAAAAAAAAACCCAAAACTGATAGAGTGTAAAAAGCAGGACTCTAGCAAGGAAGATACTCAACATGGCTTTGCTGCTGGAGCACAGACAGCAAGCTGTGTGTGCTCGCTCTCCCTAAAGCATCCAGCTCCATTATTTATTTCAAACCCACCTCTGGTATCACCACAGCTCTGGTTGTTCTGTAGAAATACAGGCTGTGTCAGCAAGGAGACTTTAAAAACTAGTTCATCTTTGAAAAATCTCAGTCCAGGGATACCGGGCTTTTGTCAGTAGTAAGGGGAAAAGATAAAGAAGGGACGATGACTAAGACTGTGTGCACCAGTTTAGGCTGAGATTTTTCAAAGCTTCTTAAGGAATTTGGACACACAATTACTGCTAATGGGGAACGAGCATCCAGACAGAGTATGGAACAGCGTTCCAAATTTCTGCACTCCTGCTACTCCACTGTCAGACTGAAACGCTACAGGCCACTGATCTGTAAAATGGAGCTGAGCATTCAGGGGGATTTTCATTGCTATTAAAAAAACCCTGAATATGCACAGAATATTGCTCCAGAAGAACCCCTACTCCTGGCTTTTCTGGCCAAGTGCAACTCAGTGCCCTTCATACCCACCAGTGTCAGGGGAAAGGACTTACAGGATCAGGCAGGGGGCTGAACAGGGGCCAGAGTGAGGCCCGGCACCAGAGCTCAGAGATAAATCATAGTGAGAATTGGCCTTAATCAGAACAAGCACCTACAGTCTCTCCAACCTAGAGGGGACACAGGGAAGAACAATCTTGTTCTGCAGGGTGGAGATGATCTTGCTCCAAGCAGCATCTGATCAGGCCATAGACATATCATGAGGACAGAAAAGAATCAATGGTCTTCAGAAATAGATGTCCCTAAGAGAGAGACCCAGGCCCATTTTGCTGGCTGTGATAATATTCCAAACAATGCAATTCGGGAAAAGGAGCGGGAGTCAGGAAGAAGTGTGAGAGAGTTGGGTTTGTGCTTCACTTTGATAACTAAAATACAAAGAAGGCCTCAAAGAGGAGGGATGTCAGATCAGGATAGGCTCAGCAGCCCCAGCTAAGTCACCAAAGTGGGTGAACAAAGACCATTTAAATCATTGTGGAAAACAGCTCTGTGACTTGCATGCCTGAAGTGAGCATGCCCAAAAATGTTTTGAAACTCTCATTTCATGAAAATCAGGTACAACAAAATTTCCACTACTCTGCTATGATTTGGATGCCTGCTGAATTTTTCTGGAGCCTGCAGATAGGCTCCATTAAAAAAAAAACAAAACACAAACAAACCCCCCAAACTTTCATTGCTCTCTGCAGTAAAAAACCACTGATTTCAAAAGAAGCAGAAAGGCCAACGATGAGAATTTTTGAAACTATCAACCTTGGTTGTTTTTTTCTCCCCCCCCCCCCCCTGTTTTTCCCCCCCCCCCACCTGTTTGCTAGATCCTTATGGAGTCAGAGGGCAGAGAAAGCATCATCATGAGAGAAGGGGGTTTCTGCTGAACTTCTTTATTGTCCTTATGAGTAACCATATTAAAAAAATGGTGGTTGTAAGACTTCCAGTACACAGAGGGTCAGGTACTTTTTGCTTCCTCTGCAACTTTAACTGAGAGCTACTTTTCTTCCTTGTCCCTGAGGACTTTTTAAAACAGGTGATGAGCTTACAGAGGAACAAAACCTAATGCAAGAAGAATACAGTAAATTCCAAGTTAAAACTGTTGTGGATTGAATTCTTCAAAATTTTCAAAGACAAGCAATTCCAAACTGATGAGACACTCTCCCCCTAATCTATCCCATAGCACCTACATGCTTGGAAGACTCTTAGCTCAGTAACTGATATTATTGGTTGTAGGTCACTGGATGCTAGCAGCAACCTTACACTGATTTCAGCAGGGATTTGTGTAGAGACCATACGCTCTTGTGGCTCCAAGTGGAACAGAAAGCCAGCCCTCACCTTTAACTGGTCTGCTGTTGCTGTTTTAAACGTTATTCAAACACAATTAAGGATGCTATTAAAAGAGCCTGAAAAGATCAAGTTAGTTGCAGCTACTCTGTTTATATAGAATTCATTATTCTGAGCAAATCCTGTGAAGACTCTTAACGTGTGCATCACCTAGCAGAATGGGCACAAAGGGAGACAGTCAAATGTTGTTGCAAGAAGTCAATAGAAAGTTCAAAGCTGCACAAGGCAGGCAACACGCATGCACTAGCACAGGACGTAAACAAGGTTTCAGTTGTCATGCTGCTGGCAGGGAGTGAGTCATCACTCCTCAAGTTTAGTATTGCAAGGAGAAAGTAATTTTAATCTGGGAATACAAATTTAGGAAACGGGCGAGGAGGGTACTTGGCAAGCTTACTGTATGTGAGATGACTCCAGTGATTTCAGGCTTCAAGCCCCTGTGCAAAGCCCCCGTGACTGGAGGGACAAGTGAAGGTGGTGATGAGAAGAATGGCAGTTTCGGGTAAACAGAGGGTAATGTGCCAGATGCAGAGGGTGCTTGGTTATGGTGGGAACCCCTCTGGAGATGTGGGGGAATGAAATCGTCTAGAGTCGGAAAAGTCAAGGGTGAGCCAGGAGAAACAGTCTCAGGGAATACGGAGCCTTGCCCAAAAGGAACCAGAGGCGGTGGCGGAGTGCTGGAGCTGCCTTCTTGCTGTCTGTCTGGATTAACCTGGAGGAGGGGGACTACTATAACCCCAGGCTGAGCTGTGGTGGTGGCAGTGGCGTCCTGTAGGAAACAAGGTGTTGTTATGCAACGGGGAAGATTGGTACTTTAGTCTAACGCAGCCATATAGTGTCATGCAAGGATGCACCCAAAATGATACGAAGCCCCAACAGATTTTCTTGGCTTATGGAGACGTACTTCCTCAGTCTTGCAGCCTTGGCCTCTATGAACACACGTGATTTTTCACAAAAATCCTCCTTCCCCTCACCACCCCTCTTCTCCAGTTCTGTGCAGCGAGGCTAAATCAAGCCACAGAACAGCTCTGCATTCACCATCACTTGAGAAGCACTAACCATCACATTACAGAGTTTGCTTCTTTTACACCTCCCTAAAATAGAAAGATCCTCGCCAGCCCAACCCAACCCCCTACAAACAGCACACACGCACAAACACACAGATCAATGTTGGAGGGGCACGCATGGGGTGTTAAGTATTATCGAGTAGAAGACCACAAGACTCAGGTGGCACAACAAGTGCTCAGAAATTAAGTAGGAGGGGAATAAAGCATTAAGGGAACACTGTAATGAATTAAAGAACCGTTCACACAGCTGAAAGAAAACAAGGTTATGGAGAAAACATGTACCATGCTGCGTCCCATTGCCTTGTATGGTGGCTGTCGCTGCTGAGTAAGGTAAGGCTCTTTTCTCATCCTGTCCTCTGTGGCAGCTGTGCTCTGGGGCTCTAGCACTCTGTCCCTCACAGCTTGCGGAGGTGACGACTGAGTCCAGGAGGGTTGGCCCGCACCATAACTAACTGCGTCTTTACTGAGGACAATGTAAAAGTACGGCCTGGGAGGAATAGGAGGAGGAGGAGGAGCAGGAAGAGACTTTCCAGTATCTGTTACAGAGGAAACAATGTCGGTGGCTGGTGCCTGAGTGAGCTCAGCGCCCAAACTGGTGCTGGCTGCTGGGTCATGTGTGGTGCCAGTGGAATTTTCAGATGCGGCTAAGCAAGTGCTGTTAGATAAACAAGCTACATATAGTTTGGTGACCTTTTTATCCGCCTTCGTCTCATGACTGGAATTCATTCCAGCCTTACTACTGGGATCTGCCCTGTCAGGGTTACGTTGTATGGATGATGCATCCAACGAGGAGCGACCTTCCAAGAGTGGCTGCCCAGCATGCACCTCACCTTTGGGGCCTGAAGAGTGAGAATGCCCTGCTGGCAAGCCTTGCTTCCCACTGGGGACAGCCCCATAGGGGGTAGGTGATGAGAAATAACAGCGTGCACTGGCATTTGGTGATGCACGCTGCGTATAAGGCTTGGGTGCATTCAGGTACACGCAGTCCATGATGGGCACTGGCAACAGGTTGGTCACTTTAGTGTCAGTGCGAGGACGCCATGCAAAGCTTTCCTCTTTGGGAAGAGGAGGACGGGGAGGAGCAAGGGCCTGCCCAGGCAGAGTCAAGAAGGAAGAGAGGGAGAGAGGAAGTAGCACCAAATGAAAGGAAAAAGGAAGGAAAAAATAAATAAATTCAAAGAATGAATTCGGTCATTAGACTTGGGTTAAGCAGGTTTTAATACAGCAAGAACAAAAAGCAAATACAGTATCTGGAAGGCTGGTGCAGAACTCACTCACATACATCATCTCACACATTCTCTCTTTCTTAGCACTGCCCACTGCAGCAGGCAAGCTTTACCCAGCTCTCAAGTCCCTGCCTACACGTTTCTCTCTCTGGGCTAAATAAATCTCAGTGCTGTGTTGTTTCGAGAGGCCTGCACAGCAACACCCACAATGCCCCTGGGAAAGCCCGAGTCAAGATTTAACTTCCTAGATAACTAAACCCAGGCTCATGCCTGTGTAACTAAATACTTCCCAGCACTGGGGACATTTGAATCGCAAAGCCAGATTCAGAGCTCTAGGCCACCTCTGCTGCATGGTATGTGCACTGCTGAAAAATGAACCTTGAGAAGTTTCACCAGTGCTAATGAAGCAGACATCATGTGAATACTATAGTCTGCCACAGCTGGCTAAGTAAAAAGTCAGCATTTCTTCCTTCTAAAAGCTAGCTCTTGAATTCTTTTCAGAATTTTTCAGTCCTGAAAATGATTTCAGGAAGACCAGAACAATTAAAGTTTCTTGAGGAACTGAGTTCATAAGAATTTGCCTCCAGAATCAAGATCACTGGCAGAGAAATCCTGCTTCTAGTAAGTAATAAAAAAAAGCTTTACTGGTTTTGGTACTTTGCAACATATGGGTTGCTAACTCCACAACTGCCTGCTGACTGCAACTCCAACTCCAATTACAGTGAATTTTTTCTGAAAGCCAAACTGTTTTGAAGTAAAATAACTTCACAATAGAGAGATTTCGTTTATTGCTTTGTTGCCAGTAGCTGAAAACTATAAACTACTGAAAGGAAGAGAACTAAAACACCCACCTAGTGAACAGTAGCTCCCTGCATTCTTGCAAATTAACCCTCTGGAGACTATGAAAGTAGGTTTTACACACACCCTGTTGTCATATCTTTATGGGCAAAGGCTGGCTAAACCACTGCTAGAATGGCCAAAACCAGAGAATGAAGATGCCTTAATAGCTTGCAACATTCAAATCTGAAAAATACCTCCTTCAAATTCATCCACATATGACAGGTTGTGGCCAGCACCTATTCTTGTTACATGGATATAGACCTAGAATAGCTTCATAAAATTACAGCTGCTGTCCTGAAATCTGTCCCCATGCTGCCCCTCTTTTCCCCGCTTCCCTGATGTGTAAGGGAGTGGAGAACTGGGTTAGTAAGTGCTCCGTCAGAAGGGCTTCTGCTTCTGGAACAGGCTCATTCCTTTTGCTTCCTTAAGGACAGTAGTTTCAGTCTGGAGACTTCAGAGTGCCACAATATTTCCCCTAGGTTAGGTGAAGCCTCACTTCACCACTACATAGTATTATCAGGAAATACTAATTCACCACCTGCAATCGCTGTTTTTCATTTTCTTCCATTTCAGCTTAGTTTGGACAGCAGTCCTTGAGACTTCTATAAGAAGTACTATGTGCATCTGCGCCCTCTCTGTTCATCAACAAGATCAGTAAGGGACTACAGAACAGCTCTAAGTATCAGGCAGTAAATGGGTCTCTCCTTTAGGGTGCCGCTCCTTCCCATGCCTCCATCTGAGTTGTGCCTTCTTCCACTTTCACTTACAATTTCAGGAACAGTGTCTGTTCTGTGGCATTGCTATAGGTCCCTGATGATGGGAGCAGTCACCTTGATAGGGGAGGACAAGGCTTTAAAGGGACTCTGTTTCACACAAGAAAGCAGTTTCTAACGGAGGGTTTCCTTATCAGCCTTCAGACTGCTTCTGTGCAGACCGACCACCCAAAAGAAAAAGCATGAAGTAACACTCCTCTTTAACAGATTGACTTCATCAATTTACCTTCAGGTACAAATAACCTTTCCCTTGTTGGGTTGTATCAGTTACAGTGTTAAAACTGAAAGGCATTTCCCCAATATCTTGTTTTTAATGTAGGGTGTAACTCTGCTTTCAGCCTGCAGCAACCTCTAGGAAATAGACCAACACAAAAGACAAAACAGTAATAGATAACTACTTCACCTTTTTTCTTGCAAACAAATAGCGTTGTCCTCCTCCTTCACCCACCAAGGAAACACTGTGGCGTGCCTGAACACACAAGCTCCACAGCATTCTGCTGACATCAGTGCTGCCCGCATTTTAAAGGTAGGAAAAACTGAGGCACAGCAACTTACCCAAGTCTGCAGCAAAGTTTGGAGTTCAACCCAGGACTCCTGACCATGAATCCAATGCTTGAACCCAGATCACCACCCTCACGGTCACAGAAGAAAGACTTACCTGTGGCTTGCTGTCTGAGGAAAGGTTCGGACGCACGCTCCTATAACCCTTGGCAGCCAGAGAAGATGGTTGGGCATCCCCATTGGCATCAGTGTTAGATGACGACCTCCAATCATCTACGAGGGGAAGGAAAACTCAGATCACAGAGGATTCCCTCCAGCTACAGGACGAGCGAAAGGAGGGGACTCTTTTCTTCCTTTTTTCCCCCCCGCTTTCTTTTCTTTTTTTCCAGGCAACAAGAAATACTTCCAGGAAAGCAACAGAAGCAACAACATAAGCAGCCAATGTTTGTACCTGTTTCTGGGTTTTCTGGCTCCAGACCTAAGCATTTCACAGAAAGGAGGGATGGAAGAGATGGGGGTGGAGGATAGACATAAAGGAAAAGAAAGGGGAAAAAAAATAAACCATTACGTTTACAGAAAACATGTACCAATTGAAGTTAAGAGTCGAGCTACTTCATTTCACACATAAAATGCTTTCTGACAGGGCTGCCCAATTACCATAGAGACCAGCCCTAAACATGATGCCCTCCTTGTTTCTGACCTTTGTAAACACAAGGCGATTCATTCAGAGCAATGAAGAAACAATTGTTCATTGACATTCTTATTTCAGAGGCAAAAAGGCAGCCCAGCTAGTAGCCCAGCTACTTTCTAAAGCTGCAGCTTGACGTCCAGACACCACAAATTACTGGAAATGTAGGGACCCCGTATTCAGCCATGATACAGGCTATAAAGACATATCTATCCTTATCAACATCACTATGTATGATTAACTGAGATAAAGGACTGCCAACAAATAGATCAGGTTTTGCAGACTAAGTGCGTGTGCATGAAGGGAGTTATAAAATATGATGTCACTTTACAACCCGGTCCCTGCAGCTAGATGCATTGGTCTCATCACCTATTTACCCACCTCCCACTGTGCTCCTCCCCACCCCTCTACCCGTTTTGCTGTTTAAGTTATGTGCAAAAAGCTCTTCCAGCTCCAAAGTACATTTCATAAAGTGATTGAGAGAGTAAGCAAAGGAAGTATTAATGAGCTGATTTCCATAGTAATGGGCTAATTGCCATTCAGGCTGCTGGAAATTTATGAAGCCATCAACAGAAAGGAGAGAGGCAATGGTGGGGGGTAGGAGTGAAGAAACAGAGAATGGCAAGCATGAAAAGAGGGTAGGTCACGGGTGGAGCAGAATGGGAGGAGAAGACAGAGCAGAAAGCAGCACATTGGGGCTGGAATTAATGGAATTGTCCTTCCTCCAACAATACAGCCAGAAACGATGTATGCTTTGCTTTCAAGAGCAAGTTTGACCCCCTCCCCCCTTAACGGCATCTTGCCTTTGGGAGTTCATCCTCTCTGCCAGACCCACGACACTGGCCAGGTTTGTTATGCTTTGCCTGTCTCCTACAATTAAGTAATTACACATCTGCTGTTGAAAGATGGCAGAGCTCTGTGGCAACACTGTCTGTCTGGGACGCTATCCCCGCTTCCTTGACAACCCAAGTGAATGCTACGCTGGCAGTAGCACCACTCAGCCTCTTTCTGTTCCACCTCATGCCTGGGATAAAAGGAGGTGACATGGGTCTGCCCGGGGCGGGGGGGTGGGGGGGGAAGATTTGAGGGGTTTTGGTGCTCCTGACAGAAAAAGGGAGCCGTAAACAAACTTAAGCCTGTGAGTGACTGGTCATGAAACCTGCACTAGGAAAGAACAGGAGTCAGTCTCCCTCCACTGATCTGGTTCTTGCAAGAGGTTTCCAACTATGCTATGGGATTTGGGGCTTTAAATCGTAGCAAAAGAAAGTCACCCCAACACCCTGGCCTGACCTTACTTGAGGTTATTGTGAGTAACATGTTCCAGTTATCCTTCCACCCACTTACTTTCAGGTTGCTCAACATCCTGAGGACATGGCGAAGTGATGTTCTGATTCTCTTCATAGGCTGGAGATGCCCGGAGGGTCACAGCTCCTTTTCCGCTGCAGACTTTAGTGGGATCCATTTCTACAGGAAATGCACATGTGCAGAGAAAACACATCGAAACAGATGATACAAAGCTATTAGGAGCCATCAGAGCTCTATGGAGTAATTTTAGCATGGCTGCCTCTGGGTGAATCAGTCTAGTAATGTTTATGCAGATGAAGATTAGCTCTGGATTTAAAGCATTGAGAAATCAAAGCAGTTTCATATTCATGTAACTGATGAATGTAGAAGTAAGTTCTGAGTCAGTGTAACAGAGCTAAGAAAGGAGGAAAAAAGGATGAGTGTTTGAACCAAATTTCACAGGTCCATTTGCTTTATTTGGTCTGCTTTGTGTGGAGATGTTGTGCTAGCAAGGACATTCTACCATTACACCTGTGACTCTTCTATAGGGAGGTCCCAATGGTATAAAGCAATATGATTTGTGTGCTGAAGCCTTAAAAATGCGTTTTGTGCAGGACTGAAAGAGAAAGAAACGTCTTATGACCACTGGGAGGATAAAATCTTGTAACTATGCTGAATGTGATCTAAAGGCAGGGCACTGCAAGCCACCTCCTTGTCATCTCTCCCCGTTTCCTGGCAGTGTTTCACCTTCTGACATAGGAACCCGAATCCCAAAAACTAGAAGGAGATTTAACATATACCTGTTCAGATCACCCTGTGAGCCAGACACCAGATCACGCCAGCATCCTTGCTGAGGCCCAATTCAGCACAGCTTCTGTGCAGGCTTACCTTTGCGCATTTCAGTCCATGGATTTGGGTTTTTTCCTCCTGTCATCCTATTAAGTAATAACAAACCAGTACTTCAAGGCTACCTTCCTCTCCTTGCTTAAAATCCTTCTGGAGAGTTGTTTCCTCTAAGATACCTACAGAAACAATAAGCCTAAAGAGTCTCTCACTTATCCAAGCTACTTCCACAGGAAGAAACTTCCCTTTCTCATGCACTATTACTGACCCTGCAGCTGCCATCAGACTTTACTTTGACCTACCTAAACAGAGGTGCTAGTCCTACCATGACACAGCACAAGGAGCCTGAAGCGGTACTGAGCATGTGCTGTGTTACACAGATGACAACACGATGATTCTTACTTTTATGGGGTGAGGATCATGCTATCTCTGCACGGGGAGGGATGCAGCTCCTCTCTAGGAACTGTTATTATAATGAAAGTTATGCCTTCAGACTGGACAGAGGCGGCAAAGGCTGCTGCTTATTGCCCAGACAACAGCCCGTGTTTGTGCAGATCAGTATTCCCTGGCTGATTTCAGTAAGATAATGCCCCATTAAATCCACACCAGTACAGTGCCTATAGACCATGACAACACCTCAGCTAAGGTTGCAAAACACACAAACCACAGCCAAGGTGGCCACAATATAGGGAAACATCAATAGTGCCAGATGGACAACAGCAGTAGGGGAAAGACTCAACGAATGTCAAACACCTGGCTCACATCGAAAGCCCTCTACACTGAAATCACTGCAGTTCAAGCTTTTACATGGGCTTCCAATGCTTTAGGGATTTCGCAAAAAGCATAGCTTCAGATCCACACTTAGGACTGGAGGAAGGATGGAATAAGTAAGGAATCAGAGGATACTTTCCTATAGTTTAGCCTTTAGTTCATTTAGGCAGCATTGAGGCAGCCTCTGTGAGGGGAAAGACTATCCACACAGACATATCAAATGCTGCTTAATCCTTAAATATACCACATTTGCACTCACACCACACAACTGATCATACCTTAAGGTCACCCACACGCCCGGTGAAATAGAAGTTGACTGCCCTAACTGATTTTCGCATGATCCAGATAGGGTCAGGACTCCTTTTGCCCAGGAGTCCAGTTCTGGCTATCGTTTCCATCCACGCGACCCAACACACAGCCTGAGGAATCTACAGACCCACTTTCAAACCAGAGGACAAAGGTTTAAGCTCTGGGACTGCAGTTTCAAGAGTGCTGTAACTCTGAGGCATGGACACACTGCTGGGAGTCACCAGGCCTGATTTAGACATCCATAGACAGTGCAGGGTAGCTGTTCTCCTACGCTCCTACACCAAGATTCTCTTCACAGGCACTGGAGAGAAACGCAAACACTTAGAGTTCACCGCGCCATAAATATCTCCAACATAGTGGAGGAGAATCAAATTTGGGAATCAAAGCACTTTTTTTATTTTCATACAACATATTAAACCTGTATACCGAATCAAAACAATAAGAATCAGAAAAAATGTTCTGAACTCAGCAAAATGAAAATGTTGTGAAAAGGTTTGAAAATGAAATATTGTCAGACTATTTCAATTTGGGAGAGGAAGACAAATACCTAAGATGTTGAATTCCCTCACAAATTAGGTGAAATGATGGAAAACAAAAATCTGAATCTCTCAGTATAGAAATCCAGCAGATAGTAATAAACATGACACTAGTACTGTACTAGTCCAACAGCCCACATGTGTGACAGATTAGGAGAGACAAGCAGTATCAGCTACACTAGTCTGACTGTCCAAGTCCAGCAAAGTACAAAAATAATCGTGTACTTCAGTGGGAAAACATGTGCTTGGGGAAGGGGTGACAGACAGCCTAACATACTTATTTATCCATGTAAAGATTCTGTAAAGTCAGTGTACATACAGAAAAACAAAACCACTCGATCAATGTTGAACAATGCTTGAACCTGTAAAATACCATCTCTGACATCCATTTACTTTCATAAAGACTAAAGATAGGCAGGAAACATTCTTTGGTTCATCAGGAGTTTGGTTCAAAATGAGGCTGTAACAACAATATTATTCATAATGAGGCATTAGTAGAAGAGCTTACAATGATCCCAGATTCAAGTAGACACAATTATGTCTGCAGAGGAGCAGCATAATTGAGAACAGTGTATTGTGCCATCAAGAGCTAATTTTATTACCTACTGATGAAATCTACAGTTCTGGAAACAGTGAGAAGAGGATGAAGCTGAAAACTAGCCAAAGCGTGTGGGTGAAGCGGGGGGGGGGAGAGAGAGAGAGAGAGGAGAGAGAGAGAGGAGAGAGAGAAAAGAGAGAATGATGGCCAACTAATGCATGGCA